CCCCAAAACCCCAAAACCCCAAAACCCCAAAACCCCAGCATTTAAAAATAATAATGAATTCTTATATGTAAGAAAATTCGATATACAGCCATGAATAAAATGACCCATAAATGGCAAAAATTAGGAGAAATAGAGGCCTTAAAGTCATTTTTCAACAGCTAATATTCAGAAATAATTAGTGAGTTGGGAATTACCACACCAGAATGTATCCGCCCGATATCAGAATGACTGAATCTGAGCATCGATTCTATCTGATCTGTTGTAGAACCAAAAAGTTTTATAATTTTGAATAGATTTAGTCACCTGAAGAAGCTAATTTACACCTCTTGGCGATCTCCCCCAGAGCTTTGTGGTACATAGGATTCCTAGAAAACATTTTTTCCTCTTGCTTGTAAAGTAAGTCTATTCATTGATTTTGAGTATCTGGAAAAGTTCCCTCTATAATATAGAGAAACAAGTTCCGGAAATATTCGTTTTTAAAGCTACGGTCAAACCTATTTGATTGAGAAACTAATCATATTGATGCTAATATCAATAGCATCCTTATCATGATCATTTACTCACTCAAGAGTATCGTTAGTCTTAATTCTAAGAATTCGAAATAAGAACCTCACAAAGTCCTCACTTGGGTCTGAAGCAAAATGTTTCCTGAGTAGTTCTCTACATGCTTCTAAAATTTTATCCGAGTGACAATTCTTGAACCTCTTCTTGGCTAGTATCTTATTGTCCTTCACAAAGAGTTTATGGTAGAACCTTCTAAACATTCTGAGAATGATTTTATTCAACCCATTAATATTTTCGGAACCTGTTTTTGGAGAGCTTTCATTATTCTCTATAATAAAGCAAGGTTACTTGTTGCCAACATAAAAATGTGCCAAAAAGTGACGAATTACCAGAAGCATTAATTTCTTGATCTAAACAGGATACACTCTCTATCTGATTAAGGATAGAGAGATCCCCTAGCGATTTATCCTCCTCTTTGTTAAAATTATCAAGTCCTTCACTGAGTACACCATAAAGTGAAGATTTAAAACCAGATAGCTCATAATTGTCAGGACGCATAGTGACTTCCTAAACAGTACCATTAGAAAAAGGGTTTGGCCCTCAGAGCTAACTGCCTCTGGCATATATTAATCTTTCCTTACCTCTTTCTTAAGTGCTTCTATAGCTCTCTTGGCTACATCTTCTACTGAACTTGGGTTTGGAAATTTGAACTTAAACATATTAATATCCAAACTTCTGGAATATTTTGGGGTTTTGGGGTTTTGGGGTTTTGGGGTTTTGGGGCTTTGTGACTTAGCCATTTTCAAAAATTTGTGCAATAAAATATTGATGCTCAATTACAAATTATTGTATAGGGGTTTTGGGGTTTTGGGGTTTTGGGG